GCAAACGAACGCAGCCAAAAACAGACGTGGAAAAAGCAAAAAAAAAACACAACGTTAAGCTGGCTGTTGTTTATTGTGGCTACTGTTGTTGTTTTTTTCATTGATATTGCGATTGCCGTTGTGCGCAGCGTGTAGACAGCATAACTTTCACTTTAAAAAATCACACAGCAAAGAAGGTATATTGGCATGCACATATGTATGTATGTATGTATGTGCTTACATATAAATTTTTAGGTGCATATATGTACATATTTATGATTGTATGTGAATGCGCTTAATTGCGGTTTTTCGTAGATGCTGATAATACAAACGTAGACATTTTTACGGCTATCTGTGCATTTCTATATACATATGTTCAGATATAGATACATATGTACAAATGTAGCAGCACTTTTAAGTGGATTTTAGCACATACTGATACGCCTTTGCGTGAATTTTTCTTATTCCTCACCAACACTCTAACTCTGCTATGTGTTTGTGCTTTCAAGTGCTTTTGATACTTCTCACACATTCGTACGCCGCACTTGTTATCTACTTATATGCTCACCTATACATATGTGTATATAGTATATGAACACCAGCTACAAAGTTATTTATTATGGTACAAAAAAATAAATAATTTTAGTGAAACAATATAAAATCACCTATACTTACATATGGTATGCGGAGAAAAAATTGAGAAAAGTTAAGCAAATAGTAACTCAATTAAATTTGAAATGCTGATCCCCAGTCACATCCATATTCATGATCTAGAAGTATGTGCAAAAGGACATTCGCTGTAGAAATGCGACTATTTTGGGATTAATTCACGATAAATCGGCGAGGAAAGTGTGATTAATAGCACTTTTATTCTACAGCCATCTACATGGATGGCTCTAAACTAAATCTAAGAGTAGGGAGTGGGATACACTCGAAGGACCCCTATCATAGGCTGCCATACCACTCCTCCAAGCAGAACTCGCGGTCATGAAATAAGCTGCACTTTTTGAATCTTCTTTTAATCTGAATTCGATAAACATACACTCCAATAGTCGAGCAGCTATTAAGTCATTGGATTATGTGAAACCTCATCGTAAATTGCCATATAATATACATAGAAAAGCCCTTAACAAGTTAGCTTCAAAGTCTACTACCCATATTGTGTGGGTACCATGTCATAGAGTCATATAGCAGAGGAGCTTGCGAGGAAGGGAACTTCCCTATCTGGCGTCAGATTTTCTCCTGATATACCGCTATCTACCTATAAAACATGGCTTAAAACACACCTCGTCGAGAGGGCATAAAAATGGTAGTAGGAAGAACGCACATGTGGGATGATTTGACAAATCTGGCACAACTTGGACATGCAGAGATGCGAAGCACTCATTCGGTTAGAACGATCTCTACTTAAGCAAGTGACCGAGATTATAACGGGTCATTGCTTGATTGGAAGGTATGCCTGGAGAACGGGTTTTTTTATGCCAATGACTTCTTCCGATCACCTCTTCTTCTGCCAGGCGGATCTGAGGGAAGCAGGCATTCATGAATTCTCACGCTTTATTAACCCAACTAAATTTCTCTACTTCTATTTGAATGGACGGGATGTAATACGAGCTCTTAACTGGAACTACAATGGACACAAGGGCCCTAAGTGTGTTGGTGGTTCGATATTTGGATCGAATATTGCTGTTTTGGATTTTTCGTCTTTACCACTATGTATAAAGCATCAGTATTTTTCATTTCTGAACCACAGCAGATGGAAATACCTAAGATTTTCGACCGCGTCTGATGGTAGTTTTAAGTAGGTTAGCGCAAGCTGGACTTTTTAATTTGTAATATTATAGGAATAAAAGATCTCGATGCTTTTCATCTTTATATTTTGGAATTCATCCGTCTATCGTACTGTTTTCATGTTCCTTTTATTATTTTTTAAATCTAGACGGCAGAATGGGCAAATGGAGTTGCCATATACGGCTATCACAGTCAGGTGTTTTGTGCCACGGGCGCCGGTAGTGCCATAATAACTAGTCGAAGTTTGGAATCAGCTTACAATGGACTTAGTTAAGGTTGCTTATCTTTGAAACATCCTATCAAATGATGCTTTTGATACATTTGACAATTTTTCATCTAAAATCTGTAACAATAGTGCCTGGGCTGCCAAATAGTAGGTCGTATGCGATACGAATTTATTCTCACAAAAACACAAGTGCTGTTAGTAATTAACAGGACACAGGTTTGGGCCCTTGCAAGAACAGCAGCCTTTTTAATTAAACCCAGACCCAACGTTACAAGTACACTGAGAAAAGAAATAAACCGAGTCGTCTCTGTTTCAAACAAAAACACATACGATTTTGTGCCAAACAAGCTTTTGTTTACTTTGAACAGATTTATTTTTAGAGATTTTTTTGTTTTTGACTCAATTTTGTTGTTCGCTTCACAGATGCTTTTTCATAATTAAGAAAACCCGAAAATAAAAATTTAAAATTACATGTTCCTCCTAATGGGATTTGAATCTGGACAGTCAAAAATATGGAATTACTAACATGGAAAAACCAAAAATGACGCTGTTTGAAAAAACCATGTTACTTTTTTCTTAGTGTACCAGCAGTTCTTCCTAGGTACTGATCGATTGGCAACTATCCCAGAAGCTGGGCGTAGCTTTCAGTCAACTCCTTTTTTGCGGATGCTCCGTATTGGTGTGAAATGACGTATGTATGTACATATGGAGCTAGATTAGGCTGGTCCAAAATTTGTTTCCCAGCCACCCCATTATGGGCCAGTAGCTCATCAAAAGTGCCGAAAATATATGGGGGTTTTTGGTCTCGTTGATTACGAGTCTGAAGTCAGATTTTGAAAATTGAAAATGGCGGATTATTAAAAAAAAAAATTATGCAATTTGTATGAAACTGTCTATAGGGGGCTTTCGCGGCGGGGCGGCTGATTACACTGGTCGACGGCCAAAATTTACCAGAGACGCCGTTATGAAATTC